TCTATAGCCTCGAGATAGCCGGTACCTAGATTCGCTTACGCTTTAAGACCCTCGACTAGGCCTTCGAATACTAGGGAGGACTAAGCAGTCTTCCTAAGAGCCTTATTAACTTCGCCTATAGTAGACAAGAGCGTACTAAGCAGGTCTCTTCGTTCGTTAATAAATATAAGGTCCGTCGTTAAGGCGCCGAACACCTTTCCCGTACTATAATCTATCGCGTATCTACCGCTAGTAAGAAGGTAGGTAAGCAATTACTTAACTTGTCCTTTGCGCTTAACGACTTTACGATAGCCTACTAGAAGAAGCACTACGATGCGATTGCCTAGGTCGATCTTAACGTATAGACAACTAAGGATCTACTAAAAGAGAAGGGCTATCGCATTAATAGTATAGGCTTTATTATTAAAGGTTAAGAGGCTCCTATCGTTAATGTCCTTAAACGTAAGGCTCTTCGCCTAGAAACCGAGGCTAATACGGCTACTAGTCTTACGCTCGCTATAGAAATATAGGCTAAAGATCGTCGCTCGACCCGCAACCGTAAGGTCCTTTAAGAAGTTTAAGACGAGCGCGCTAAGGCCGAAGTAGCGCGTAAGAAGGCATTACATGCTCGCTAGGCCCTCCGTAAGGCTACTAAGAAGTATAGCACTCCTTCTAGTACCGACTATAGTACTAACTATAGTACTAACTATAGTAACTCGAATGTTAATATACTAGATATACTACTAGAAGATGTCTCCTTCGAAGGCTCCTTTAGCGAGCGTAGAAATAGAGGCCTCTCGCCGATCCTATTAACTAAGAACATCTATAGTTCTTATAAGGGCGACTCTATTACGCACCTTATTACTAATATCGATATAGTTCCTAAAGCCGATATAGGCAAAGCTCCTACCGCCCTATCTATCTATTAATAGCTCGACGACCTTAGTAAGCTAGGTAAGGAGCGGTTTACTATATATGCTAACTATATTAAGAAGGCTGCTAAGGTCTATAGTCTCTATACTAGTGCTAAGGCGAGCGTCCTTGTCGGTCGCCTATTAAAGATTAGTCGCGAGGTTGCTAATTAGGATGCCTTTACTACCCTTAAGACTAGTTATACTAACTAGTTTCCTAGACGTCCTACTACCGCCCCGACCTCCCTAGGACTCTACGTATTTAACCCTACTAGCACTATTACTCGCGATCTTACGCTAACTAAGCGTCGCTATAAGTTAATTACTAGTATTCTCGGATAAGGTACCTCCTTCGACCGCTTTCGTTAGACTAGTAATGCTATCTTCCCTCGAGTCTTCGGTTAGATATAGTCGCCTCGTAGAGCGTACCTTCCTCTTATCGTCGACCTAATATAGGAGGAGTTTCGTATATTCTTTTAGCATATACGTAAACTGCCTAAGTCTAAGTAGGAAGGCCGCAATGCTCTTTAAACCTATAGAGTAAGCAACTAAATCGTCCGTTAGTATCCCGCCTTATAGCTCTTAGCTGTTACCCTTCGACCTAATTACGTATATAAGCTTATCTCCGTCCCTAAGCCTACTAAGTACTTTAAGGTAGGTAATAGCGGTTATAAGAACTGCTCTGCTAAGGAGACTTCTCGTCTCGGATAGGATATAGTTAAGCTCGTAGCTAGTAAGGGTGCTAGCTATCTGCGTATTAAGGTTTCTCTTATATCTAAAGATAAGACTGCCTATTTAACTGTCGTCGAGGGCATATACGAACTAGAGGTCTTCGAGAACTAGGTTAAGAAGCTTAATACCCGTAGCCTAGTTCTACTAAACAAGATTAGCAAGCTTACTAATAAGTACCTTACTAACGACGACCTCGGCTATATATTCGATAGTTAGCCTAACGAAGGCGAGGTAGCTTAGTAGATCCTTAACCCTCTAAAGGAATGCGAAGTCTCTGTTTAGATGCTATACCTTCCGTATAGTAACCTAAAGCCCGAGAGCGACCGTATATCAATCGACCTAGGCTACTCTCGTATTATCGACGGCACTAAGATTAAGGGCTACGATAACTTAACCGTCGCTAGGGTTGCTAAGGCGTACTACAATCTAACCGCCCTTCTAGGTTCTAATACCTTCGTGCCGTTCGCCTTCCCTACCGCTATCTTAGTCGAAGGCCTTAGTTACATTTCCGATACCCTAGTTAGTAGAATTCCTTAGTTAAGTTGCGTTATTTAGAACGAGGTTAAACAAGTCCTCTAGTTTAGTAAGGAGGAGCTTAAGGACTATCTACGCGAGTAGGAGAAGGCTATATAGGATAAGGCTACTAACCTCCTCGTTAATTAAGCTTACTTCGAGGCAGAGTACTTTAGCGCTAATAGCTTTAATACCTACGGAGGAGTTTAGGAGAATCGACTAGCTAATAAGGTTATTACTAGTAAGGATTACGGTATATTAAAGCAGTAGTAAGTTAGCGTAGTAGATTAGATGCTTAGGAAGTTGTTTTTGCATATTAATAGAATCTAGGAGCAATGCTACCCCGGGGGTGTTATTGCGGAGTCTCTAAAAGATAGCCTTAGCTAAGATGCCTAAGGTTACTATATAACTGTTTGTTTTAAGCGCATAATATAAAGCGTGTCTAGTTAGACACGAAGAAAGGGAGGGATATTAGCTAGTAACCGGGCCTACACACCTAGGCTAAGTTTTAAGCCTATATAAGAGGCCTCCTTCTATATTATAGATAGAGTACTAACCTCGTATAGCATATTGTTTATATTACACTTCTATAATGCCTATATTGTAGGGCTCTAGTTATTAGCCTAAGCAACCGTCTTGTTATCCTATTATACTAAACAGGGCTGCCTATATTGCTATAGGTTATATTACCCTCGGTGGCCTATACTATTACTACTAGTAGTAGTAGTAGTTTTGGTTTCCGTCCTTTACTAATAATAGCTACTAATTAGGGCACCTATTATACTAAATTAGGCGTCGACTATGCAAAGATATATAGTAAATACCGATTCTGTTTATAATGCGGCCTTCTTAATCCCGATCTACTAAGCGAGCAATTTGTTCGCGAGCAATTAGTAGCCGCCGCTACGAGTAGCTCCGCGAGTATAGTACGAGGCTTTAATGCGTTCCCCTCTATACCTAAGGCGGCTAATGCTGTACGCAATGCTGCTAGTTAGTATAAGCTAGCAACTCGAATACTAAATACTAAATCTCGGAGCCTCTCGCAACGTCTACTAATACCTACTTTAGCTTTAGCTTTAGCTTTATCGGACCTTAAAGTATAGGGATACTATTGCCGCTATTTAATCTATACTTAGTATATAGAAGTTAAGCTTACGAGTACAACTAAGATATAGTTCTATAGTAAACCTAACCTATATACTACTATTACGGATGCTTAGTCTAACTAAGAATTCCTCGAAGCCGAGATAACGTTTATAGACTAGATTGTCGACCGGATTAACGCCTACGAGCTACTAGATAGTAGTATCGATCGGACCTAGGACTATTTTAACTACTTCCTCTATATAGACTTTAATAATATAACTAATCAACTAGAGAAGCTAGTAAGCAAGGCGCTTCGATTACTTAGATAGGCTTTAACGGTCTACAAACTAGCAACAAAGTTATTATTAGTCTACGAGATTAAGCTCTATATCTAGACTAAGTAGGAGAAGTAGTAACAATAAAAGCGGAAACATCGGTTAAGTACTATTACTACGAGTACTAGCACGAGTAATATAGCGAGTTAGTAAAAGGTAGTTAATAGTATTAAGATTAAGAAAGAAAAGCTATAAACTAAGAAGGTTATCGATACGAATTAGCCGCCCGAGATAATTAACTTAAGCGGCGATACTACCGCGAGTGTACCGCGAGGTACGCCTACTCCGAAAGGGCCGAGCGATTAGCAACCTACTAATAGATAGGCTAATAGCGGTAGATAGGCTAATAGCGGTAGATAGGCTAATAGCGGCGGAGAGGCTAATAGCGGCGGAGAGGCTAAAAAGACAAAGCGCAGTTAACGACTAAAGAAGAAGAGATAGAATAGTAGACTCGTAGTAGACTCGTAGTAGACTTGCACTTCTTCTTTACTATCTCTAAGACCTCGACCTCTAACTTAAACATCTTCTACTAGCGGCTAGCGAGTCGTATTTAGCTATAGCTCCTTCTAAATAGTATACATATCCTTAGACTTAATAATAGCCTTATTCTTAAGCTATTTAAACTACGAGAGGCAATATCCTTCTAACTTATCGAACCTAGCTTCTAATGCCTTAATCTTTGCCTCTAGTTTAGTATTCTTTGCCTCTACGGCCTCGACTCGCGCTTATATCGCGGCTAGCTCGCTGTTTCTATCGTCTTCTTTAACCTCTTCTATACTAGCCGTATAGTTAGACTTGCCCTTATACTTTAAGTTATAATAAGCGTAGACACGCTCGCCCCTAGCATTAAGTATACGATACTCAAAGTTATTAGAGCGTATATAGTAGTAGTATAGCGCTAGTATAAGCTTGCTAGAGTCCGTTTCTATAATAAGTCTAGTAGCCTTACATTTCTATAGTCTATTTAATACCGCCTTCTTCTTATCCGGTATCGCTATTTAATCGAGTAGCTCTTACTATATCTACGCGCTACAATACTAGAAATCGTAGGTATTTATAGTCGTAGGACGTCGAAGTCTAGAGCGAGTTAGTAGCGAGTCTATAGCGATACGCTTCGCGACTTACGATAAATATTCTCCTCCTCTTACTAGTAAGTACGCTACTAGTAAAGAAGCTAAAGCTGCTAAAGCTACGCTAAGAATAAGGTCTCGCGGAATACTAGTTATAGCGGCTACTACTATCGGTATCGGTATCGGTATCGGTATCGCTATCGCTATCGGTATCGATAGAAGAAGAATATTGCGAGGTAAGGCGCGAAAGTATAGCGAGTCTAAGTGAGGTTTATCGCGATAATAGGCATAGTAAGGTTAGTAAGGAAGGCGCAATAATAGGAAGCGACAATAGACTAAAGTAAAGCTAAACCTCCATTAACAATCTGGTGTGTATGGAGCTCCGTCCCCCTACTACTGTGAGCCCATCTCTTGGCACCGGCCGCAGCCTCCGCTTCCACAAACATCACAAGGACGCGTTCGATCATGTCGTTGTCTTGTGAAGAGCACGAGAATGCAGAATTCATGCCGCAGAAGACAACTGACCGCGTACTCAGACCCGAAGCGTCGAGCGACAGCACCAAAGCCGCTCCGTCTTGACAGAAGCACCTGGCTGCAATGATGAGAGAATATCCACCGGCATACCGAGAATATGAGCCAAGAGCAGACCATATCATGTTGTGTGCCACGAGAACGCCGTGGGCCTAGGCATTGGCATTGCAAGAGCACGATAGAGAATTGATGCGCTGTGAAACAAGGAAAGACTCCAAGGCAGCAAGAGGAAGGATCTGTGTGTGCCGAGTAAAGCGTGGGGTGCATTAGGCACCAGATCCTGCGTGGCGATGCATACGGTCAGACCTGTCGTTCATATGAAAAGCGCAGAACCTCATACTCAGCTCCTGAATCCTCCACGCACACAAGATGTCCAAGTCCGGCCCAGTCTTCGTAACAGCCTCCAGCGCAGACTTCAAAAGTCTCAACAGATTCTTACTTGATGTTCACGACTGGGAATTCGAATCTGGAGCGCGCTTTTCAGTCGTAGATTCGAGGAATGCCTATGAGGTGGGAGAACGTTACCAGGATGGCGTCGAGCCCATGGAGCCGGGCCACTTCACCGAAGATAACTTGGAAAGTCCCTGGTCTGGACTAAGCATAGGAGATGTTGAAGCTTTCTGCATCGATGCCGCGAAAACAAGCGAACGCGAAGAGCCGAGTCTCTTTCTTATACTGGATGACCAAGGTATTACAGATGAGACGGTCATCCTGGCACAGCGCCATTTTGGTGAAGACGACAAATTTATGAATAACTTTGACAAAGTCCGCATACCATGGTCTGGTGCTTACAGCATGTGGTGTAACCTGGACATCGCGAATATGGAGTTTGAAGAGTTTTGTGAGGGTGAGGCGGATGAAGAGGGATGGTGGGAAGCGAATGATTTTGCGAAGGGTGTAGGTGACGATTTGAGTGATGAGAAGCGCGAACTCAAGGATGAGGAAAGGCGAAAACTGCAGGAAGCTGGGAAGATCTAGACGACTGTTAATTCACGCCGACTAACGCTTCGAAGAAGGTATGGAGAATGAATCTGCGTTTCTACGTTATAGCCACCGTGCCTCATCAGTACCCAGAGGTTTCGGCATCACATCCCATCCCGGCATTTTACCCTCCACCTGCGCCGAATGACTTACGGCTCTCAACGTTCCAAATCCCGTCTTCCGCTCTTCAAGAAAGTTTTCCAGATCTCCCTCCCCCAACCCATCACATTCAAAACCACTACGACCAGGATGCTGTCCAAGACTTCTGAGATACTTCATCACACCCGCCAGACTCACGCTGACCTCCCAGCTACCACCTTCTGTAGCTCTCTTGTACAACGCAGCCGAGATGCCGGTCGCGAGAAGGTATCCACCTGCGTGATCAAGCGCTTGAGCAGGCATCGCTTTAGCAGGTGAAGTGCCGAAATGTTCTGCCTCGCTAACATTCATCCCAGAAACAGTTTGAACTATGCTATCAAACCCTCGGTTGTGAGCCCACGGCCCTTCGTCGCCCCAAGCATTCAGACTGGCGTATATGATCCCTGGGCGCAGCTTGGCGAGATCTGCGGGGCCTAAATTTTTGGCTGCGAAAGAGCCAGGTCTGTAGCTCTGAAGGAAGACATCAGCATCCTTGATAAGCTGATGTACTGTTCCCCGGTCTTTAGGCTCGTTCAAATCCAGCCGAATCGTTCTCTTGCCTCTCTGAACGTCAATGTCCAAGGCTGGCTGCGAAGGGAGGTTTGGCGACGTCACCCAGAGAACATCAGCGCCATGTGCGGCAAGTGTCTTACCGGCTACTGGTCCCGCGATGACTCTGGTGAATTCCAAGACTCTCAGGCCTCGTAGACAGCGATCGGCGTTCTTCGGCATGTGCTCCGGCAGGCCTTTCGGACCTTCATCATTGATCTTGCGAATGGCGATTGGGCATTTCGGCACAGCTGTCGCTTGAGGTAGACGATCCCATTCCTGATAAGACCGAAGCGCGTAAATCACAGCTTTGTGGTTCATCGCAGCATCTTCGATGTCCAGCGCTCGCCAATGCTTCAGCTTCTCGACAACATCTGCTCGCGTCGCAGTCTGCTCGTTCAGACCAAGCAGGTCGCAAGCCGCTTTGCGATGATTGGGAAACGAGTCGTGCATACGGATGTAGCCATCTGCTGTTTGATGCAGTCCACCGAGAGGACCCCAGCCACTCTCCGCCGGTTGGCCATCAAGAACATAGTGCTTTTCAGAGTCGAACTCAACGCCAGCATGCTTCAGCGGTACGCTCACTTCTCTCGCCGGAGCGTTGTTGTGCAGAGAATCTATTGACGCAGCGGCCAGCGCTGAAAGAGCGATCGAGGCTTGAGCAAGGTGTCCGATCTTGAATGAAGAAGGAAGCGCAGCAGTTTTACCTGGCAGCGAGAACCGTAAATTGGATTCTGGGAGTCGTAGATGTTTCCATATGTACCTGATCGTGTGCTCGGTGTCAAATTTCGAACGATCTGGGATGCCATTGGCGGTGCTGATGTCGTCGCAAATGAAGCTTCCGTCAGGTCTGTGGATTTCCATCATCGTGGGAGCGCGCGGTCATCCATCAAATACAAAGCATTGCAACACTTTGATTGATCGCGCTCCAGGGACGGGGCGCCTGAATTACATGAAGTATACCTACTCCGATATCGCTCTTTCTGCAGATGGATGCATGCCACATCAGAGCTCACCTCCATACTGAGCACAATGGAAGACCTATGAGGGACTTGAAACTTATTGGTTGGTCACCACACTTCATGAATTCATTGCCTATCTAGCCTAATGCAGTCGACCGTGCTCAGCAGATCTATAGCACCGACAACATTCAAGACATCGGTGGGCACCAGACTTCGACCTCCTCTGGATGTGCCCAAATGCCTGCTACATGGGCGGCGAGACAGTCTTAGCGGCAAAGGTGCAGCCGTCAATGATATTGAACTCTTCGTTGTAAAGTTCGTACAACTTCAGCTCAAGGGCGATAGTCATGAAAAGTCATGTTCAATCTGGTCCCGCTTCTGTATTTGTGTCATGGCTCCAAAGAGCGGTGCAATGGACATGAGACATCGCTCCAGACAGCAAGTACTCACGCAAAAGTTCCAAAGAAGAGGTGCGACGAGGTCCGAAGAACAGAAGCACGAGAGTTCCGTAGAACATGTTAGAAGCACGAGGGATCCAAAGAACAGGTGCAGTGAGGTTCCGAAGAACAGACATAATGAGGTTCCGAAGAACAGGGCTCCAAAGAACAGAAGCACAAGGGTTCCGAAGAACAGGTGCAAACACGAAACTCCAAAGAGCACGTGCAGCGCGTTCCAAAGAACAGAAGCACAAGGGTTCCGTAGAACAGGTGCGGTGAGGTTCCTAAGAAAGTTAGCGGAGCCTTGCTCCAATTGAGGTGTGGTCACCATCGTGTACTCCTTCAATCTCACGTTCTCTGTCAGCTCCTTCGATCAGATTCTGCTCGACACAAGGCATGTGCTGGTCACAATGATCTTTATGATCATCGACCACGAGCTCTGTAACCATCAGAGTTGTAGAAATGCGACCCGCGACCTGGGCCCACTCCGCGACCTATGCCATCTCCGCGACCGCGGCCGCCACGACCGCCACGACGACCGCGTCGACCACCACGGTTGTCGTGAGAAGTGGGAGTGTCGGCATGGTCGTGATGGTAGTCGTGTTGCTGCTGCAAACCGCCATCTGCACCATCTTGATGCTGTTGTTGCGGCGGCGGCTGTGCTGATGTAGCACCACCGTGAACGGCTGGTTGGCCTAGAGTTGGCTGTGGAGGTGGTGCAGCAGCTTGCGCGGGCAGCTCGCCTGGCGCGGCACTATCATCTTCGAAGCCCCATGCGCTGTCCACGGTGGCCGCCCACTTGTCCAGCTCCTTCGACCAGTGAACGAAGAGCTCGTCATTCGTTTCAGCAACGGCAAGCCGGGTGTTGATGCTGTCTTGTTCGCTGCGTAGCTGATCAAGGTTCTCATGACGCGCTTCAGCAACTGCAAGCCGTGCCTTGATGCTGTCTTGTTCGCTGCGTAGCTGATCAAGGTTCTCATGACGCGCTTCAGCAACTGCAAGCCGTGCCTTGATGCTGTCGACGTTCTCCTTGATCTTGTCTTGATCAAGGCTCAGCTCACACGAAAATTTGCCCACAACATTGACTTGCTCTGTCAGCTTGTTGAGATCAACATTCTCCAGCTTGAGCAGTAAATCTGCCAAAGCCTGACCCTGAGGTCCTCCGGAAAGGGCAGCAACAGTCTTATCGGCACGCCTCTCGGCATCTGCTATTCTCTGCTCTTGACGAGCGAAGAGCTCTTCAAAACGCTGCCTCTCGCGCGCCCTCTCGGCAACGAACGCTTCGTTCTGAGCACGGATCAAGTTGCCAGCGTCTTTGAGCGTCTCTTTGAAGTCGTTACCAACGCCATCGGACCAGCGCTGAAAGGCTTTGTCGACCATTGGGCCCAGATCGTTCTTCAGAGTCTCCACCAGCTTTTGGATCCTCGCCTCGAAGCCTTCTTTCTTGTCCATATTGGTCATCATGGCGCTGAGCTGAGCCTTGAACTCAGCATCGAAAGTGCGTCGGAGGTTCGCCTTGATTTCTGCGCGCTCTCCTGAGGTAAGGCGATCGATGACCTCCTCCTTCGCATCCGCGAGCCTCGTTATCTCCTTTCGCAGCTGGGATTTGGTATTCTCGAATTCCGCATGAGCCTCAGTCAAAATAGCCTGGAAATTGAAGGCGTCTCTGTTGGCTTGTGTAAGCTCTCGTGACCGCATGAAATGTAATGTCGATGTCGATGAGAGAATAGGATAGCTGCGAGGAGTCAATTTCTGTTTGTGTGGCGAACCGGGCACTCCCGCGGCTGCGTCGGCATTCAACGCCTGCCTCCCTTTCGTTCGCATTGAAGAATTAGGCATGCACGTGGGACACGCGTGAAAGCGCGAGTCAAGACAGATGGTCCAGTTTTCCCCTTGCAAGGTTCGAAAGATCATGACGACTGAGCACTTGTGGAGGCAGTGACTGGAAGTGGGAGAGGCCATGATCCGAGCGAAGCCGGATGTTTCTAGGCCGTAGTTGGAGTGTTCGAGGAGCTTGCGACGAGGATACGGAAACGGAGGTCTAGAAACATTAGGCGAGTGGCGGAAAACAGTCGGACCTGCCTTCCTACAATATTAAGAAAGCGCTGCAGGTGCGTATGTTGTTTGAAGCGCTATAGGTGCCTATATTGGTTAGTAGCCCGGGGGTTCAGTGTAAAGAACCGCTACTATAAAGTTAATCGAGCCCTCTTATTAGTAGAAATCAAAAAGAAGTATTAGCCTTAGGCTGTAAACACGTGCCTCGCAATATTACACCAAAGAATAACAACTACTAGAACTAGTACTAGTACCTAAGGCCGTTATTATACTAGTAAAACGACAGAAGGAACAAGGGCAATATATACTATACGTAAGACTACTACTATACTAGCGAAAAGATAGTGCATTCGACTAGTACTAGTACTAGTACTAGCACTAGCACTAGTACTAGTACTAGCACTAGCACTAGCGCCGCATCGAAGACTAGTATTACACTAGTTAAAAAGCAGTCTACTCGACTAGTACTAGCGCCGCATTAAAGACTAGTGCTATACTAGTAAAAAGATAGAAGAAGGAAGTATAATATATACTATACTAGTATTATACTAGTAAAAAACACGAGTAGAATCTAGCCGGAGACTGCCGTATCGAAGGATAAAGAAGGAGCTACAACTTAGTTAAAGAGGAAGGAGTTATAACATAGTCGAAACAAAGCAATATAAGGGATAAGAAAAAGAAGTCTAGTTACCTAGCTTTAAAGGCTAAAAAAAAGATACACTAGACAGAGCGGAACTAAAAAACTATAGATAGGCAACACCCGGAGTTACTCTTACGGATACGATATAGACCTCGAGCTTATTAACCCTTTAAGACACGTTACAAATCGACTAAGTAAACATAACTACTAGACTTCGACCTTATATGCTTCCGAAGAAACGCCGCTATAGAAAACCTGTCCCGGAGAACTAATTTCTTTAGGTTAGATAATAGGCAGTTACCTCTACTAGTTTATTAGGCTGCTAGCTGCCTTAGAAAAGGCCGAAGCCTAAATCCCTTAGGTTCCCTATATAACTTAATAACTAGGCGCAAAGGATTACTATAACTCTTATACCTAGTTATAGCTAGGCGTCGCTTCGTTATTAGTTAATTCTTATTAGTTAAAGGTTGTAAATTGCAGTACTATTATATACCCTTATTACTGCTGCCTACGGCAATAGCTTAGTTAGAAGGGGAAGGCAGAGAGGTAAGGTTTAAATAGTATACGGCGCTTAGTTAAGTGTTTAATTCCCTATCTAGTCGACAGTATATACTAAACTAGCACCTAAACTAGCCCTAAATTCGCACCTAAACTAGCACCCTCCGAAGCCGCTAAGTTAAATCGATTAAGCGCATTTCTAGCAAAACTACGCTAGCAAAAGTAATTAATACGATAACGACAGATGCCTTAGGCACCTCGAAGCAAAGCTACTAGTAGGAGAACAGTATCGTAGCTTTTAGTAGATAATAGGCAGGCTTAAGCTACGAGACCTGCTAGCAACCCCGAATCTATAAAGGACTTGCGCTTAATATACCCTTTACTAAGCTAAGAGGTATATATTTTGTATAAGCGACAACGTTAGCAAAAGACATGCAAACACTAAAGCGGTAGGCACGGGGGGTTTAGGAGGCGTACTAACTATCCCCTCTGCCCTAAGCGACAACGTTAGCAAAAGATATATAGATACTAAAGCGGTAAGGGATAGAGGCTTGTCTCCCTCCCTCTAAGCGACAACGTTAGCAAAAGATATGCGGATACTAAAGCGGTAAGGGACGGGGGCTTATCTCTCTCCCTCTAAGCGATAATATTAGCAAAAGGTATACGGATACTAAAGCGGTAAGGGATAGGGGGTTTAGGAGTTCCGACGACCTTCCCCTCTCCCTCTAAGCGACAACGTTAGTAAATAGATATAGATACTAAAGCGGTAGGTACGGGGGGTTTAGGAGGAGCTTGCGACGACTATTCCCCTCTACCCTAAGCGACAACGTTATAAAAGGAAGGAGTATATTACTAGCGCTTATAAAGGCAGGTTTATATAGAGGTATAGATATAGCTTATAGTATAAAAGTAAATAACAGTTTTTAGTCCGTACTCGCTACTCGTTTATGCGATTATATACTAGAAGCCGCTCTCTATTCCTTTTTAGGTATAGTGCTTAAATATAGAGCTTCCCGGTCGCGACCTGCTTCCTTTAACTTCTGCCTCCGCAACTTCTACCTCCGCGACTTCTACCTCTACGACTTCTACCTCCTCGACTTCTACCTACGATAGCGGTGCCGCACGAGACCTATAGTGTATGCCTCTCTACGTTCTCGAATGTCTAGATACGCGGCGCTAATATATATAAGCCTTTCGCCTTCCGAGATTAAGTATAGGTTTACAAACTATATCCTTGCCGTACGACTAGCTACCGACTCGAGCGCTTATTTAAGAAGGATGTTATCCCTCCTATACGCGACCTCTAGCAGCAGATAGATAATGCTATAGAGCAGTAAGATAAACTAATAGAGGCGTACAAGACGAACGAATACGTACTACTTATATACTTTAAATACTACACTACGAAGGCTATTAAGCCTGCCCTTTATGCCGCCGAAAGCCGTCGTTATATTAACTTAATAGCCGAGATCTACGCTATTATCTAGCAGAATACGCCTTCTTACTTATTTATAGCGTAAGTTAGTAAGCAATTCGGTAACTAGTATAGATAAGTAGCTACTAGTATACCTAGAGGGGATCTACCTAGCGGTCTACTAAAGAAGAATACGCTAGCTAACCGTCCTAATCCTACTTAATCGGACAGTAAATACGAGGATTATAGCGGCACTAATAGTATAGACTAGCAGATTTGCTCTAGTACTTATAAGAAGAAGAAGAAGATTCGCTACTTTAAAAAGGGCCGGCGCACACTTCGTACGTATAATAAGTATTGTCTAGCTTCTTCTATATCTAAGCAGAAGCGAAAGGTCGTCGACCTTAGTAATAATACTAACAACACTCCTTCGAAGCGAGATAGTAAGCGAGTAGGCAGTATTCGACCTACCGTATAAAACGCTTAAAGCGCGCCTATTACGATTGTATTATCTCCTATACCGATTAGTTCTCTCGCGTCGACGCCTTCCCTCTAGCCGACGCCCTCTTCGAGTAGCAATATCGTAGCTCCTCCTAGATATAATACTAGTAATCCGACGAAGAAAGTACCGCAAGACTCGTACTAATCCTCGATACTACTACCTCCTCGCCCCTCGTAGTAGATAGGATCTTCCTCTTCCGGTACTACTAGCCGACGTCCTCGTAGTTATTATAGTAGTAACGATCCTGCTACTGCCTAAGTACGTATTACTTAAGGAGAGATCTCTCGGTCGCACCGCCCCCGCCGACGCACTAGTAAGAAGGTATCCTAAACACCTAGTATCGAAGCACTTCTCGCTAGAGCCGTAGAGCGTATATAGAAGGATTACACTCTAGCTAATTTTCTAAGTAATACTCTTAGAAGCGATACACTTCTGAGTAGTAGTATAACTAGATACCCGGATAATAATAGTAATAGCGGAGACAAGCCTAATAACTATATATTCTTCTTTTACGACGTTTGCGAAGTACCTCGCTATATCTCTCGCCTATATAGAATGCCTAGCGTTCTATCCGATTAGTGTAGCACTTGTCGGTATTATAGTAAAGGCTTTAAACTAGACGATCTTGCTACCTATAAGTAGTGTATTACTAACAAGCACGAGAGCTAGCGTTTTAAGTTCCTTACGAACTCTAATTCTAATAAGCTAGACGAAGAGCTTAAAATATACTACTACGGTTGTTATAACCTAATAAGAGCTTAACAGGAACAACGGAGGCTACTACGTCTAGCCTATTACAAAGGCTAGCAAGAGCGTACTTACGTAGTAGAGGTAGAACAAGAGCGTAAACGCTACTTTCTCGACGATATAGACCCTAATTTCGTTGCTAACGAAGACCCTAATTAAGATCCGACTGCCGCAAACTTAGATTCTTAGCTAGCCCTTAGCGAGGGAGATTACTAACTCGTATAAGAGTTCTTTTAACAGCTAGACAATAAAAAGATAGAGTATTACTAGAACGAGAATCTATATAACGAAGGCAATAGTTAATAGGGCAGAGGTTGTAAGGAGCGTTAGTTTAATATAGAGCTCGATATAGATTAAGAGTCGCCTACCTTTAGCATTTGTCGGCGCTGCCGTATAACTCGTAATAGCTAGAAGCCTTATCTCTCGCCCGATCTTATATTACGCCGCAACTATATAGATCTAGGTCCGTAGCCTTCTTATCTAGACACTAGCGATCTACCGGAACTTACTATAATAGAAGAGATCCTAATCGTACGCGTCTATATCTATATCGAGATACAGCTAATTAAGGGAGCTTAATAGCGTTATAAGAACAATATTATTAACTTTCTTCGTAATACTAGCAAGGTGTAGAAGGAATTACTATTAGTACTAGAGTATATCGAGACTGTGCTATTACGGCCTGCTTAAGGCGATAAAGTTACGAAGCGGATCTTCGTACGGGACTTTAAGGTACGACGATAGGCTATAAAGATATAGCTTAAGCATCTTATCGCTAACTCGCCCGACTACGTAGGTATAACAATCGATAAGGAGCGTCTCTCGTAGCTTCTAGACAGTTAAGATAGGGTTTTAGTGCTCGATCGTATACATATTAAGGAGTATAAAGAGGATTAGCTTCCGCTGCCCCTATATGTTAATGCTTCTTAGCTAGATTTTTCTTCTAATAGCGAGGCTAGTACCTAGGATAAAGAGGACAACTTCGCCGACTACCTAGAGGAGTTAGCATTACTATAAGCATATATACTATAGGGACAGCGAGAGCAGATCTAAGAGTTACTAAATTAATAGGATAATTAGCGTTATACCCGTAATGCCGAACTTTAGCAGCGCGTAGTTAATTAGCGCTAGCGCTAAATCGACTGATTACAAATAGACGCGACCGGAGATAAGGATAAAGAGCCTACTATCTAAAGCTAGCTTACTCTTCTACTATTCGACTAGGTGCCCCTTAATAAGTTTAACAAGACTAAACGTCTTATATCTCGAGCATTTCTAACCCTATATCTATAGGGCTAGGCCGACTACGTTAACCCCCGTTAACGTAGAGTTGTATACGAGGACTACTTAGAGCATCTAATTAAGTAGGATAATAGTATAGGACTGCGTCGTTATCGCTTCGCATCGCATCCTCGCTTCCGCTATATCGGGCTAAACACTCTTATAAGGAAACAGTCCCGCAAGAAGGCCGATTATGTAATGCAACAACACCTAGAGTATAAGGACATTACTATAGACGACCTAAAGGCTGCTCTTACTAGCGATAATAAGGAGTCTCGTCGTCTTCTCGCTAATATCGTTCGGTATAGTAGTAGCCTACGTAGCACCTACGTATACTAGGTTAGCAAGACTCGCGAGCTAGAGATCTTTATAAAGGCTATTAGCTGTCCCCGCCTATTCTTAATATATAGCGCTACTAACAACTATTAGCGTAGTCTGTAGCGTTATATGCTAAATCCTCCGGCTAGTAGCAATAAATATATACGAGTTAAAGCGGGCAGGGACAACGTCCGCGAGTATCCTACGATCGCTGCTTATTACTTCTACCGTCGTTACGCTTTTATTATATAGCTTATTACCTAGAAGTTTAGAGCGACAGACTTCTAGAACCGCTTTGAATTCCAAGCGCGTAGCAGTTTATATAATTACAGTATTGTTTAGTTAAAGGAGCACCTTAAGGATAGTAAGATACTACCCCTACCGGTAGAAACCTACCGCGAGGACCTACGTACGGACCTAGCTAAGTTTTAGGCTAGGCATATTACTGCTATAAACCCGACACCTCGGCGAACTGCTCCTAAACCTAACGAGCCTCTACTGCTTTAGATAAATTCAACCGACGTACGCAACTTATAGTAGCATCTTATAATAAATCTTAACCGCGTCTAGCGTTATAAGTATAGCTATAAGTACTGTTAGCGCAAGAACAAGGATACCGGCAATGTCTAGTGCCGCTTTTACTACCCTCGCGCTTATTATCCTAACGATAGATATATAACTCGCAATCTGAATCTACGTTACTAGATATACGATAGACCTCGCAACGACACTCGTATAACTAACTACAATCGTACTATCTAAATAGCTTAGATAGCTAACAATAACATTACCGTTTGTACTAATAAGGGTGCTATTGTCGACTACCTTAGTAAATACTATACTAAGCAAGAGAAGCGTAGCGAGTTACTACTCGATCTTAGGTAGAAGGTCCTACCTAGAGTAAACGCGAACCGGCCTATAGTCTTATTTATCGCTAAGATACTTAACAAACTTATTAGCGAGCGGGATATCTCTGCTTAGGAAGAGATGCATCTACTCCTTAACCTACTACTAGCTTAAGGATTACGTACTGTTTAGAATTTCGACTGCCGTAAGCCGGAAGATTAGTCTAAAGTTAAGCGCTACGATCCTGCTATCGGTAAAATAGTTACTTAGGGCTAGTCGCCTTTGCTTAAGTATATAAACCGATACGCTATTTCTAAGTAGAAGCTTAACCGCTCCTATTTGCTCGCTTATCCGGATCTTACACTTTTCTAATTCTTAATAGAGTAGGACTTTTCTACCTATAAGAAGCGCGTACGAGCTAAGCTACGGGTTATTAACTAGTTCCCGAAATACAGCGGTACTCTAGACGGTCCTAACGGCACTTATAAGGATTAGTGCCGTACTAAAGTGCTTCTTTATTACCCCTTCGATACCGACTATCCCTCTCTACTATATTCGTTTAAAGATAATCCTAGTATAGCGTATCCCTTATAGAGCGAGGTATATGCTTAATGTAACATGTTCTATAACTACCTAGATAATTATATAAGCATTAATCTCCCGAAGCCTACCGACGACCTATTCGAGGATGTAGTATTCGACCCTAAGATTAAACGCCTAGAAGCTAAGCTCCTAGCCGCTATACTCCCTAGACGTAACCCTACTAAGATGCTTAAGGATCTTAATAATCTTAGCAATCGACAAATCGACTACGAGTACGACTAGACGCAGTATATTAGCAAGTATAGAATTACTATTAATAATGCTAAGACCTAGTAGATTAATATGCGTAGAAGTACTGCCCGAGATAGTTAGAGAATCGGTATCCCTAATAACCTCGACTAACGCATTAATCGATTATCTAATGCCTAGACTCTTTAGTATAATAAGATCGTCGATTACTAGTACGCGTAGACCGAGAATATGTATACGCCTACCTTTCTCCTTAATGTCGATAGCAAGGCCGGTATCGGCAAGTCTTACGTTATCGAGACTGTTTCGTCTAAGCTTAAGGCACTAGTCGACGAGTTTAACTACTTCGAAGCTAGTTACGCTAATCTGTAAATAGGTAACCCGATCGTACGGCTTACATCTACTAGAGCCGCCGCTAACGGTATTAAAGGCAGTATACTATATATCTTCTTTAAGCTACCTCTTAAGATAAAGGAATATATTCCCCTCGATAGGCAGGCCTTAACGGATTTCTAAGATCGGATACAGTAGGTTTAGTACGTTATTATTAATAAGAAGTCGATAATTGACCTTACTATACTCTATTAGATTAATTAGCGCCTTCGTTAAGTCTCTTTCTAAGCTCTATAGAGTTAAGGCGACGCTACTCTCCCCTTTAGAGGTAGATATATTACACTCGTAGGGGATTTCAACTAGTTACTGCTAGTAGGGGGGAAGCCGCTTTTCTCTAAGCTTATAGATCTACGCACTCCTAAAGACATCTCCGGTTTTACTACGTACTAGCAATTTAACGAAACTATCTAGTTAAGCGTTATATAGCGTTAATAGGGAAGCGATGCAGCTGCTCTTGTATTTAAAGATGCCCTTAAAGGTCTTCGTAACGCACCGGCTAGTATTACTATCGATTACTAGTAGACACTTTGTAGCCGCGTTAAGACCGCTCTTCTATAAGTAGAACAAGACGCCTTTAAGGATTCTATTCGCCTATATCCTTATAAGAAGTAAGTTAATACTTATAACTAAGACGCTATACGAGACAATCGTATAGCGATTAAGGTTGCTCGTACTAAGCATACTAGCGGAATCGACGCCGTAAACGCTACCTACGACGTCGGAGGCAATTTGCATTTACGGCTTCCGGTCTGCCTTAGTGCTCGTATTATAATAATATAGAACTTGTAGATAGAAGGCGGCATTATTAATAGCAGCTTAGGCACTATCCGTAACATTATCTAGCTAGAGACTAATAATAAAGATGTCCTTAATACACTGCCTATACTACTACTTGTTAGATTAGACAAGTATAGTAGACCGACCTTCGACGAGGACTTTAATGCTAACGGCTCTCTCGGTATGCCTCGTCGCGTTATTCCGGTTATTCTAGTCCGTCGCGAATAGCTCTACAATTAGCGATACGATGTACGATGCTTACGAACACAATTCCCTATAACGATTGCATATACTATTACTATCTACAAATCGCAGGGCATAATACTTAATAAAGCAGTACTCGATATCTCTAAGAAGGACTTTACTCTAGGGTTAACGTATATTAGTGTTTCTCGTATACGTAGATAAGGCGATATTATATTCGAGACTCTATTTAACTTCTATAATCGGTTTAAGACAGGGAAGGTGCTACCTACGACTATTGCCCGCTATACCGATATACTTCGTCGGCGCTTATAGAGGCTACTCCCTTAAGGCGTTATTCTCTCTTCGACACCTCTAAGACCTAATACTTAGCCTCGTACTCGAGACGAGATAGTAGAGTATATACGAAAGCAACAATAGCGAGCTAATATATAGCGTAAGTAACAATCCGCCTAGGAGGCCGCGCGGAAGAAGCGACAGTTGCTAGACTATCTAAAGGATCTTTAAGCTATTAATCGTATAGAGTGGCTCTAAGCTTAGCTTAACGCTAATCCGCAGTTACCTTATAATCTTACTACTATCGCTTAGCGCTATATAGGTGCTCCTCCTAAGGCTTATAACTTTCGTTATCTACTCGCTAATAGTAGCACTAATACGAACCTTATACGAGGGTTAATTAATTAGTTCGAGGCCCTCTACCCTAGGTATGCTCCTCTACTAATTTAGGTTAATTAGCTACGGCTATTATAGCTAGCCTCTAGTGCTCTTAGAACCGATCCTCGCCCGATACCTATATTATATCTAGTATATGCCCCTACGTCGACCGCCGACAACGCTTCCGACTTCTTTGCGCGTATTAACGCTAACCGCAAGAAAGTAGTATATACCCGCTAGGCAATTACTATTCTAGATTCTTAGCTAACTTAACCTTTAAGTTCCCTACTAAGTAGTCTTCTATATAATTAGTACAACTACGATAATATACTCGATGCAATTCAGCCTAGAGAGAGCGTAGGCTTCGGTAAATTCGCGCTAAGATTTATTAACGCCCGTAAGGACTAGTATATAGACTGTAATCGACTTAGGCAGCTTCTTTAGACCGCTCCTAGAATTGCGATTAATTAGCGTAGCTAGAGCCGCATCCTTATACGATAGGCAGCTTTTTATAATAATAAGATAATAGATAAGTAGGAGATAATAGAGGAGTAGGAGATAATAGACGAGTAGGATATAGTAGATAACTAGTAGATACTAGATAACTAGTAAATAGCTCCTAAGTAGGATATAGCTAATAAGTAGCATATTGCTATTAACTAAATAGGTCGGTCGTATACGCACTAAAGTAATTCCCCTACTCTAAGTATATATCGCGAGTATAAGCGGTTGTCCGCTTATAGTCGTGCTATAGAATTATAGCTAATTGCTAAGCCTATTCAGCTCGAGTTGCGATATAGATACTAATGAGTCTATTAACAAGCCTGTTTAGCTCGAGTTGCGATGTGGATACTAATAAGTATAGTATAGGCAGGCCGACCTGTTTTACGCCACTCGCCTCGGCTTCGCTCGGCCATCCTGACCTGCACCGCGGGTCTACGGATACTTTATAGGGAAGGGTGTCTGAAGATGCCCTTGGGCCAAAATGCGGTCTACCCGTCCTATGCCCTCTACAAACCTATGCATAGCCAATTTGCTCGAGGTATGGTCGCTTTCGCTAGATGTCGCAGTCTGATATGCTTGCTGTTGAGCTTCTCGCTATGCCATTCATTGATAGGAGTCAGGACATCGAAGTGCCGCCTTACTGCATGACGCAAGGAGGTGAGGCGCCACCACTGCCTCCAGGTCCGTCCATGACGTCCTTCTCAGTCTGATTCTCGAAAGTGACGGTGGTGTTGCCAATCTCTTGGCCATTCACCAAGCAGGAGAAGCAGAGAACGCCCTTGCGATGGCCGAAATGGACGATGTACTCGCAATCGATGCGACGGAGGGTGCGGCCCTTGACCTTTCTGGATGGATACTGGGAGAGATCGACCTTGCTGAAGTCGGAGGTGAATGTCACCAGCACTCTCGCGCCCTTGTCACGCACCCGATCAGGAGCTTCGTCAAGATCGCTGACGTACACATCCGTCTCATGCTTGCCGTATTTGCTCTCTTCGCTGATGGTGCGGTAGACGGAAAAGGCAATCTTGGTGTTCTGATCGACGAGTGCACCCTTTTCGAGCTGCCAGAACAGGTTTCCCGATGCGCGAGCGGTACCGTCCCAGTCAGAGATGAAGCGATCGCGCTTGTCGTGGACCATGGGATCAAACGCGACATGGCAGGCAAATCCGTAGTGGAGGCGAGAGCGTCTGTGAGATGGCTGAATGCCGTGAAGACCAGAGTAAGCAGCTCCTCGAACAATGGCCGACTGGGGATTTGGTGGGCAGAGCAGTTTGATGCCACGCTCCTTGGTCCACTCTCTCAGGACCTTATTGAGGTAAGTGGAGTCGCCGAAGCCACCAACGAGGAGAATGGTCTTGATCGTAGATGGCTTGCCAGTCGCACGACGCTCAGCGTCGAGCTGGCTTTGCAGAAGTTCGGTGATCTTGCTCACCACGGGGTCGAACATCCGCTTCAGATCTTCTTCATAGATTCTGATAATGCCCTCGTCCTCGTCGTAGTACTTTGGATTCTTGGCATTCTTCATCACCAAAGGTCCAACCTCATAAATCTTGCGCGTGTTGGTCGACTTGCCAAAGTCCTTCTTGTGGGCCTCAAAGTCTTTCATCATACGACTGGCGGGGCCACGCTTCTCCCAAGGCAGTTCAGTGAAGGCTTTCTTGAACTTATGCTCCATCCACTTCATGAACTCGCGATCGATGTAGGTGGATCCACATTTGCCACCAATGCCCACAACAAGCTCCTTGAACTCAAGCTTGGGAGTGATGGCTGTGATTTGGTATGCGGTGAGATCTACAGTACCTCCGCCGCAGTCGCAGACCAGAATGCTCTGGCCAACTCCAACTTGGTTCTCAGATCCGCCTAAAAGTGTCAGTCTTCTGTCTTGAGAAAGATGTTAGAGAATGCGTACCTTGTGTCACGTCCGAGAGCACTGCAATCGCCGCTGCTTCTGGCTCGCGAATGAGAAATACCTGGGAGTCAGGATGGGCGCGCAGCTTGGCCTGCTTGGCTGCTTTCTGAGCCGCACGAAGTGTGTCGCGTTTGGCCTTGTCCGACCACACTGCCGGCACGGTGAACCAAAAGTCGAGCGGCGTAGCTTGAAGGACTTCGGGAGAGACTCTCTTCTCGAGGGACTGGTAAGCAAAGCTTGCGAGCTCAGTAAGGTAGTCGGCACAGATCTCAACAGCAGTCTTGTTGAGTGGCTTTCGGAGAACGCCTTCTCCCTGGCTCTTGGTCAGGCTTGGGTCGTCGTACTTGGTCATTTGCTCTGGGTCAAGCAGAAGCTTCATCCAGGCGTAGGACTTCATCCGAGGCGCCACTTCGTAGCCCCATACATTGCCCGAAGAGCCGTTCTCGTCACCGTAAGCGATGCGGGTCGGCGCCTTCCAGGCATTGTCGCCTCCCGGCCTATTGAATGGTCAGAGAAAAAGTCGACGACAGGCTTGTGTCTGCTTACCAGTCGCGGACGCAGTGCACATCATCCAAGACTTTGATGTGTGCACCTTCAGTAGAGACCCAGCTGATTCCGGTGAATGTCGTGCCATAGTCAACACCAATGACAATCTTGTGAAGACCAGAACGCTGCGGCGGCGTGTCTGAAAGTGGTTCGCGCTTCATCGTGCTCGATGCTGTCGTCGTGTCTGGAGATATGCAGCAAGGCTGTCCTTGGGGATCTTGTAGTAGTTTGAAATGGTGTTGTGGCCAAGGGGAAAAGCGATTATGACCTGTCCAAGACTAAGTGAACTTGGCCAGGCAGAAGTCTTCAATGGCGGTGACCGTAATTATGGAAAGAAAGCGACAATAGCAAGCTCACTTCGATGCGCAAGTGAGGCTCGTTGTATGTTTTTGCATGTGATTTTGCAGCACCGCTAAGCTTGTTTCAATGCTATCCGACTTCACTCTTCAGACATTGGTGCTATAAAAAAGACCTCTAATGTGCGAATGGTGAGCCTCTCTGATTTCTCTTCCAGACACCGACATGGCTAACGTACCGTATGAGATGGACTTCGGCGGGACAAAACGCACGAGGACTGATCCCGAAGACTTCCAGTTCCTAAGAGCAAGCAAGCAGTTCAAGAGAGACTGGTCGGAGCAGTCTGACATCGAAGAAGTGGGCTCGACGACCAGAAGCTTCGACACCGGTTCCAGGGCAGCAGAAAAGATCCGAACACCCACGAGCGGACCCAAGCAACAATCGAAGCAGAACGAGAAGAATTTGACCACCGCGGGATTTTTCAGCTGGCCCATAAATAAGACGTGCGAAATGATCAGTGGTCGCTCATCTCACAAAGCTCTCCACGACAAGCGCCACGAGCAAAATGAAGCAAAGATTGCAGACCTGGAGGCTCAGATTGAGGAACTTCGGGGCAAACTTAAGAGTGCGAAGCAGTCGGCGGAGCAACGCCGGAAGAACTACGAAGATGAGAGGAGCCGCCGCATCTCGGAGACGAACAAGCAGAATGATCTCGTTCAGCAGCAACACAATTCGTACGAGCGGCTGGCGAAAGAGATGAAGCAGAAGGCCGCCGAGAAAGAGAAAGCGGACCAGCGAGTGGCCGCGGTGCAAAGAGAGGCCAATGAACGGATCAAAGAAGCCGACTGTGACGCTGTGAAGGCACGAGAGCAGAGCATACACTGGGAACATACTGTCGACGAATTGAAGCTCAAGATTGAAGCGCTTGAACGCTCAACCATTGCCCAGCACCACAGTATGAAGCAGCTCGAAGGATTCAAGAAAGACGCCGAAAGAGCTCAAAATCAGAAGCTGGCCGCGGAGAAGGCTCGCCGAGAGCAAGAGCAGAAAGTCGATGGGCTTGAGAAAACAATTCGTAGTCTGCAGTCCCGCGCATTGCGATCTGTCGAGCCCGAAAAGTGGGCGCCTTTGTCAAGCTCTGACATCGAGCACGAGCTCAAGGGTGTCCTGTCGAGTGTACGACAATGGGCTCAAACCCACTGTCACCTCACGTTTGACGATGTAATCGATAACTTTAAGCTTCTCGGGGAGGTCTTGGACGATCAAGGCTGCATCTCTGGTCGCAAGCAGCTCTGGGATGCTCTAGTCGGAAATGCAGCGATCCAGAAGCACCAAAAGGCAGCGTCGTTGATTTTCACCGCTCTCGCCTCTAACCACATCTGCAAGAAAATCATCGGCGATCCATTCTTTGCCTTTGTCGAAGTCCAGCAGAAGGCTAACGCGCTGTATCATGGAGATGGGGCCGCGGTGCGAGCTTTGGTCGATATGATACGTCAAAGTAAGTCAGTCGCCTTCTGAGTATAGGACCTCTACTGACATACCGCTCTCGTAGGTGATGAGAGGGGGGCGGAAGCTTGGAGATGCCAGCTACTTCGTTTACTAGATCCTGCAACCGTGGAAGAGAACCGGAAATCCGCTGCTGCCAGTCTCTGCCATGAATTCTTCTACAAAGTTCTCAGGCTCGATCCGAAAGTAGATTATTCCGCCGAGTACAACGAACTGCTCGAAATCATGAAGCAAGCAACCGATCTGGCTTGGCGTCTCTGGACTCGCAAGACTCGCGTGGAAGTACGCGACTGCGCTGATATGATGAGGCAATTGGGCAGGAACCAGGCTTTGTTTTACACGTCCAGAAACAAGCAGTTCGAAGCTCATCCACTGCACAACCTCGACCTGGATGACGACCCAACTGCGAAGGATCAAGCGGAGATTGTCTTGCTCTCGAGCCCATTGATCGTCATCTCGGGAAACTCAGACGGAGATGACTACAAGAAGCAAACCATTCTGAAGAGAGCTGTTGTCTGGATGGGATGAGGCGATCTAATTTTCGGAAGCAGGTAGGTGGACGAAGTCGGCTGCTGCGCGAAGAATATCCATATTAAACCAGTCTCAGCAACGATAGGAATGAAGTTTTGAAACGTAGCATCAGGCAGAGCACAGCCAGAGTGGAGATGGATGGTAGATATCCGGACCGAAATGCATATGCTCCCAAAGATACCAGAAATATGAGCCAATGTGAGAGCGCGATGATATGGCATCGTTGTCCCACAGACGACACCCAGCGATCTCAAGTCTCAACCAGGCCAACACGCGAAGAGTGTAGCGGACAGCGCTGTAGTTTTGTGGCAAGACTTTTGCTCCAATGATAATAGCAAACCGCTCACATTCCGCGTTCTAGGCTCTGCGACATGCTCGAGGCGCCATATTGATTGGATGCAGAGACGAGCGTTAGCTGTAGCCTGTAGAAAGAGCAGCGACTGCCGCCAAGACTTTTCGCGCTAGTGGAGCTAGTGGAATTTGGTCAAACAATTGAAACGCGCGCGCCTTTTTCTCGACATCGACACCAGACGTACCATAACAACTATCCAAGAAATGCATTGCTTATGCGGTAGCTGCCAGCGCTGCCGCCAAGGGCGGATGAAAGGCAACAGCCGATTTGGAAAGTGTAATTATAATAATGGACAGCATCGACCTTGCAACTGTTGTAGCGAGGATGGGTTGACACACTGGCAGTGCTCCAACGCAGGAATAATGTTCGTCAATTGCCCTGTACACGGCCCTCAAGGCCATGATAACCGACCCCAGCTGCAGTCTGGTGGTCAAGATGAAGCAGCAAGCGGCGGATCTCGGCAGCAATCTGGAGGCTTCCCGCAGCAATTTTGCGGTCGAGGTCAAGCAGCAAGCGGCGGATCCCAGCAGCCATCTGGAGGCTTCTCGCAGCAATTTTGCGGTCCAGTTGGCTTTAAGGCGCGCGGAGGACGTGGCGGTGGTCGCGGTGGCTTCCAGTCACGCGGCGGTCATCAAGGTCACAACTCTCTCGACGAGCGTGAGCGGGAATTGAAGCTGAGGCGAGAGGAGATCGAGATGAGGCGAGACGAGCTCGAGATCCGCGAGAGGGAGATGGAACTCCGACTCAAGACTGCCCACGAGCTAGTATTAGGTCATCTCTCCGGAACAGCGCCCACGCCCACGCCGACCTCGACTCCTCCCTATCAGCAGCAGGGTAAGAGGAAGTTCGATGGCGATGACAGTTATGGCCACCAACAGCCATACAAGAAGAAATGGAACAAGAACGTCGCTACGGACAAGCTGAGCAATGCCGCTCATCAGCACGTCCAGGGTCAGCAGCAGCAGCAACTGCAGCCGCAGCGACCGCAGCCGCAGCAACCGCAGCAGCGGCCACCACGGTGGAAGAGACGATTGGATCGGCAGCAGCGTTGGCAGCAGCATTGGCAGCAGCCGCAGACTGGACCTGTAGATGGCGAGGGTGATATGTCAATGCATGGCGATCACGAATCGACACCTGGTCATGCCATGGCTCCTCCAGCTAGCATGGGTCCTCTACCAACTCCAGCCAGCAGTGGTCAGCAAGGTCCTGGGAACGGTGGCGGCGCATTCGCCAACATGGCCTTGCCTGTCGGCTCGGTTGGCGCTGCTCAAGGTGGTGGGGTGCATCAACTCCGCGATCAGCTACGTGGAGGAAGACCTGGTGAGGACGGAGATGGTACGACAACTGTCGCACCGGAAACCGGGATCGTCGAGTCTGCGGTTGTGGCGAGGTCGAGAGATCCTGTCGACAAGCAGCTCGACGAGGATCCGATGCGCAAGTAGTCTTCGCGACTACAACGCCATCACCATCACCATCACCACCATCACCATCGAGGCGTGGTCGCCTTTGTGGACACGAGCAAGAGTCGTCACCTTTGTGTGATAGAGTCGTCACCTTTGCGTGATTGAGCCGTTACCTTTGCGTAACTTAAGTCGTCACCTTTGTGTGATAGAGTCGTCACCTTTGCGTGATTGAGCCGTTACCTTTGCGTAATAAGAGTCGTCACCTTTGTGTGATAGAGTCGTCACCTTTGCGTGATTGAGCCGTTACCTTTGCGTGATAAGAATCGTCACCTTTGCCCAGGTCTCGATGGCTGAGTCCAAGCCGCAGAAGATACCATCCCCTCTAGATAAATTGAGAAATCAGATGGTACTCTTCGCTTGTCACTTCGCATTGTGTATCTTCGTGTAAACATCGTAGCAGTTCTCATTCTTGTCTCAGATATCAACAACTCACGACCATGGCGCCCGCCGCGAAGATGGAATAGCCGGAGCAGGACCATGGTTTCGTTTCGGCGATTATCATCGAGGCAACAACGACGAATTCCAAGCTGGTCAAGAAAGCTAGAGGCCACATTGAAGAGTATTACGATGGTGACTCCCAAGGAAAAGGAAAGAGAAAACCGTTCTATGCTAACAATCATCTCTCTCGCGCCAAGTCCCCGTCTGCACCAAATCAGGGAGCTCTGCCAATGACCCCGGTTCTATAAGACTTGGGAGCAATACGAAGATCCAGATGTCAGACGTCATCCAAAGGTTTAGAGACAGCTTACAGGAATACTATTACCCTTGCTATAGATCTCGTAGCCCTACAGTTAGCGTACTACTTACGTTCTATACCGTCGATTTTATAATCTACGCTTACCGTTAAATGCTATTAATTTTATAACCTATCGATCTTACTACTCCCTATCGATTTTACTATTAAGCTCGCTACTTACTAATAGCCTATTACTTTAGGGTTAGCGTACTACTGAAATCCTCACCTTCGGATAGCTAATTACAAATTAGTACTTTAAATCTAGTAACTAAGTTATAAAAGCTACTAGTAGTATAAACCCGCTATAATAGATATTAGAGGTTCGATATCTATAATATATTCGATTATCTATACTATCGTTATATATATTAAAGATACGAATATCTATCATATCTATACTAGGGAAGTATAGTAGGGAAATCTAGCTTAGTATAGACGTATACCTTAATATCTATACTAGGGAAGTATAGTAGGGAAATCTAGCTTAGTATAGACGTATACCTTACTTCCTTTAATACTATATAATATATATAATAGTATATATACGACTATAGATAATAGTATAGTAGTAGATATATACTAGAATAATACCCTATTCTACTATAATATAGCCTTCGTTACTACTCTTCCCTTTTTATAAATACTTATAATACTACCCCTCGAAGATATATAATACTACTTAGACCCCTCGTAGTTACCTAAGATATACTAGATAGTATAAGGTATATAATATATAGTCCCCTATATCGTTATAAAAACTTTTTTTCTAATCGCGTCGATCCTATCGATCCTATCGATCCTAAGCGATCCTAAGCGATCCTAAGCGACCGAGTCGCGACCTAACTCGCGCCCGGATCGCTTAGAATCGATAGGATCGACGCGGTAAATTTTTATATATATAGGATCGCTCTAGGTCGCTCGTAGTCGCAGTTGTTAGTAATATTTATACTATTTGTATAGTACTATATTAATACTTATCGACTCGTCGACTCGGTCGTATTAGTCGACTCGGTCTAAACTAGAATATACTAGTAGTACTATAGTTTTAAGTATATTACTATTATATTAACTGTCGTTACTATATATCGCTATATTCTGTCTTATACGTTCTCTATTAACTATAAAATTATTCTTCGCCGCCTTAGTATTATTATCCTCTATATTTCGGAGGCACGATTTCTATATACTCTATATAGCACGTTGCCTTTTTATTACTCGCCCGTAAGCCTTTATAGCTCGTATTTCCTTATCCTTCTATTCCTTATCGTAAATTGTATTATACGTCTCGAAATTAACTATACTATTAATATAGCGAGTTCTATACGGGGCGCCTTCGTCTATAGGTACGGCGTATAATATATAATAGACTAGTAGTAGGCTATATACCCGTCGCCCTTTAAGTCTACTATAGTATAGTAAAAGACGCCGTAGCTAGATTGTCGTTAGACTATATATATCCTTATACTCGCTCTTATCGTTAATATAGTCGTATAGCTTAATAAAAATGCCTATAACGGGCCTCCGTTTCGTCCTAAGCCCCTTCCTATATTTAATTCCTATTTCTATATTAATCGAGATTACGTACTTTAGTTAAGCTAGTAGGCGACCGCCGAATCGAACCGCTAATTTATTAGGTGTTTCTATACAATTAACGTTGTATTCCTATACCTATATAAAATTATAACGTCTGTTGCCGTAGAGCCCCTCCTAGTTTAGTATATATCTCGCGAAGTCGGCTACTACTACGTTAGGATATTCTATATCCTTACTCGTAGGCTTCTAGTATCGGATTCTACCGTAGAAGCAGATCTCTATATCTAGGACGTATATATAGTCCGTTACGATATCGTTAGGGTCGGCTACGGTGCTTAATGCGCTATTCTTATCGTAGGTACCCTATTGCCGTACGAATACCGCAATCGCTTATTAGAAGTCGCGACCTAAGTTCTCTTCTATTATAGCTATAGCCTCCCTTATCGTAATCTACTTAACCGATTTCTTTCCGTTCCTCTATTTCTTAGGCTAGTATCCTAGGATATCCTCTACTAGCCGTACTATAGTTAGTATTATTAGCTGTTACGTATACTCCTTAACGGTGTAAGCATTTATAGGGATTGCTATATATTCTTTATCGTCTTCGGCCTATATATTTAATCTGTTAGTATCGCTATCTAGTATACTTTCTTCCTAGCTAGGCTTCTTATTTATTAGCCGAAGGCCCGAAATGCAAGCTTTAGTAGTTTATAGTATTTGTACTCGAAATAGCTAGTATTTAAGTCTAGAAGATTGCCGAACGTTTTAATATAGCTCGGGGTATATATTATGCCGTAGAATTTCGGTATATTAAAGTGCCCTTCTATTTGTATTATTATTAGCTCGTTAGCTTCGTCGTCCTCGTCTGTTATAACTGTATCGTTATTATTTAAATCGTTCGTTCTTCGTATAGTAGTCTTCGCCTCCCGCTAGGCTCTCTTCTATACCTTTATTACCCTATATAGGCGAAATACATTCTTCTATTCGTTTATCCGGTACAATGCTATCCTTAGATACTTAACTGTTTCGTCGTTATAGTATCTATATATCGCTAGAACGGTAAAGTCTACTAGTATACGTAGAAATCTTATCGCCTACGGTTAACGGACCTCTTCGAGTAGTAGTATAAATATAACTAATAAGACTCGTAGGACGCTTTGCTACTCTTAGCCTATCTACTAAGTAACTGCTAAGTAGTAGTAGAACTTGCGAAGATTAGTATATATAGGTATATACGCGAACCGTCTATCTAGTATTATATCGATAATCCCTTATACTACTATTTTCCCTAGCTTTCTTATTTTAGTAGATAGGCCCCTATTCGGGGTCGAGTCGGCAACTAGTCGGTATCTCCTCGTTTTTATATAGCTTATCTTATCTACTAGTAGGTCCGTAGCCTATTAGATTGCGTATATTAGCACTCCTTTTAGCAGCTAGTATAGTATATCTACTACTAAAGACTAGTATATATCGACGTGTTTCTAGCGCTATATAAAGTAATCGATATCGTAGACGTTCTACGGATCCTTCGCTATATATTCGCCTTTACGTTGCCTTAGATATCGCTACTTCGTAGATTCGTATAACCGCTATTCTACTATAATATCGAGGTGCTCTCGTTCTATCGGGTATACTAGGCAACTTAGGTAATATATATTTGTCTTAACTCCGGTAATTGCAACTTGCTCTTTATAGTCTACTAATATTACTACTAAGATTAGAAAGCACCTACGCGTCGCGCTATCTACGTATATAATGTCCTAGCCCTCGCCGTCGGCCGCTTTTATAGCGGAGCGAAATATATATACTATCGATATATAATATATACTGTTTTTAGTAAAACTATCGCTATCCTTAACGACTAGTAGTAGTCCTAGTAAGATCGTGCCGGGTCTATTATTCGCGTTGCGTACTCGTACGTATAGGTTTCCGATAGTAAGGTATATAGGGTATGCTATTAAGTTACCTTAGTAGTTAGTTATCTACGTTTTATCGGTTAATACGATTAGAGGTATAATCGTTGCGCCGTCTAGGTTTATCTTGCTCTAGGGATCCTACTGCTAGTCTACTAACGCTATATTAGAGTAGATTCGCCGTAGTAGGTCGTTAGTCGTCTACGCTCGATATAGCTTATATACTAGATTATTCCTAAAGCTACTATAACCTATTAAGAATATTACTGCTTTCTTAACGGATCGGTATCGTAGCACTAGTTCCGTACTACCGTAAGGGTCCGCAACCCGTTCGACTTATCGGAAGGTATAGCTTTCGAACCTTTATTTAATCTAATACCCTCGATAGTAGTATACCGCCGGCTCGCAGTTTCGACGTTATAGCCTTTATGCTTTTCTAGCTTAGTAGATCGTATAGTAGTACTAGCCTCTCGTCTTCGAAAAGCCTTGTAATTATATATCCGGATATTCTCTCTTTCTTTAAGAATTACGTAAAGCTTATATCGAATAGTAACTTAAATGTTCCGTACTCGCCCGAAGTATCTTATATTCGTATTTTAACGCTGCTTATAGATTAGGCGCTTATATTCACTCTACTATACTAAGCTGTAATTATACTATACCTAGCTATAGGCTTGCTAGCAGTACGGCTAGTATATTTAGTAAATATATCGATATTATCCGTAGTACGGTAGCCTTTTAGTATTAGCCGTAATCTTATTAACTTCTAGCTTCCTAGCGTTATTATCGTTCCGGCG